TGCGACGATGATGAACCGGGTTGGCGGAGAGGTAGACGGCGGAGACATTGTCCCAGTAGACAACCGTGGCCTTCTCAACAGGACACGAGAGCTCGTGAAGAAGCTGACGAAGCCAGGAGCACTCAGCAACAACGTTGGCCACAGCGCAGTACTCAGCCTCGGCGCTAAACCGCGAGACGGTGGGCTGCCGCTTGGACGACCACGACACCAGGGATGGTCCAAGGAAGATGCAGTAACCCGAAGTAGAACGATGAGTGTCCGGGCAACCAGCCCAGTCGGCGTCGGAGTAGGCGACCAGATCAGTGGCAGTGGAGACGCGCAGAGTGAGACCGAGATCCATAGCACCGCGGATGTAACGGAGAATCCGCTTAACGGCAGTCCAGTGAACATCTCGAGGAGCATGCATATGCAGGCAGACCTGCTGAACCGCGTACTGAAGCTCCGACCGAGTGAGAGTGATGTACTCGAGAGCACCAACAATGGACCGGTAGAAGCCAGGATCTGGAGCAGGAGTACCATCAGTAGCAGAGAGCTTGGCCTTCGTGTCGACAGGAGTGGCAGCCGGTTTGCAGTTAAGCATACCAGCACGGTCAAGGAGCTCATGAGCGTACTTCCATTGATGAAGAAAGAAACCATCAGGACGACGCACCACCTCAACATCGAGGAAGTAGTGCAACGGACCCAAGTCCTTGATGGCAAACTCAGCACGGAGACGATCAGTAAGCCAGCGAAGAAGCTCAGAAGTGCATGCTGTCAGGATGATGTCGTCAACATAGAGCAGCAAGTACGCCGTGTCTGTGCCCTGGTGATAAACAAACAGCGAAGCATCGGAGCGTGTAGAGCGGAAGCCGAGTTGGTGAAGAAACGCTGCGATGCGCTGGTACCAGGCACGAGGAGCTTGCTTGAGCCCATACAATGAGCGTGAGAGCAGACACACATGATCAGGACACGCCGGGTCGACAAACCCCATGGGCTGCTGACAGAAAACCTGCTCCTCAAGATGACCATGCAGAAAAGCGTTGGAGACATCCATCTGATGAACTGGCCAGGCACGAGAGACCGCTAATTGTAAAACAGTGCGGATCATCCCGGGCTTAACAACCGGGGCGAAAGTGTCGGTAAAGTCCACACCGGCGCGTTGCCGGAAACCACAAACAACCCAACGCGCCTTGTAGTGATCCAGAGTGCCGTCGGGACGAAGCTTGTGTTTGAAGACCCACTTCCCGGTGATCACGTTAGCATGCCGGGGACGGGGAACAAGCTGCCAAGTCCGGTTCCGCTGCAAAGCGTCGAACTCCTCCTACATGGCGGCCATCCAGAGAGGGTCGCGGAGAGTGGCCCGGACCAAGGACGGCAGCGGGGAAGGAGCGGACGTCGAGGCGGTGCAGACGTAGTCGTCCGCATAGCGGGAACTCGGGCGAAAAACCCCGGTGCGCGAGCGGGTGACGGGCCCGGCCGTCGGAGCAGCCGCGGGTGGCGGTAAGGCCGTGGCATCCACGGCGTCCACTGGAGAGGCAGTGGCCTCCACGTCGTCGGTGAAGCCAGCAGACGGGGCTGGCGAGGCGGGCGACCGAGGCGGGGTCGAGGCCGCAGCGTCGGGGGAGCCAGCCGACGGGGCTGGCGAGGCGGGCGACCGAGGCGGGGTCGAGGCCTTGCCCATAGAGGCCGCACCAGGGGAGGCGGCGCCAGGAGAAGCCGACCCAGCCGGCGGCCCAACATGCGGCTCATCAGGCGGCCCAGCATGCATGGCGGGCGATGTAGGCGGCGTCGACGGGGCTCCAGGCGACGAGGGCGTCGAGCCGGAAGAGGGAGCCGCGGAGGGCCCCGATCTGGAGGAGGGAGCCGCGGGCGGGGGTGCCGGAGCACCCAAGGCCGGCAGCTGACGGCGGCGCGGAGAAGAGCTCGCCGCGGGAGGGGAAGACGACACCACCTGTTCCTGTGCAAAAGGAAACACAAGCTCATCAAAGTACACGTGTCGTGATGTGATGACATGGTGAAACACAGGGTCGTAGCAGCGATAATCCTTAGTGTTGGCCGGGTAACCAAGGAAGACACATGGAACGGAACGAGGAGCGAGTTTATGGGCGGTGGTGGCGGTGGTGTTGGGGTAGCAACGGCAATCGAAAATACGGAGACCATCGTAGGAGGGAGGAGTACCATATAAGAGATGGTGAGGCGCGTAGTTCCAGCGCGGACGGCATGGCCGGAGATTGAGGAGGAGGGTGGCGGTGGCGAGGGCATCAAGCCAAAACCGAGAAGGCATGTAGGCATGGAAGAGAAGGGTGCGCACGCACTCATTGAGGGTGCGGAGGATGCGCTCGGCACGGCCATTCTGCTGGGAGGTGTATGGACACGTGAGACGAAACACGGTGCCGTGGGTGGAAAGAAGATGGCGAATGGTGAGATTGTTGAATTCTTTCCCGTTGTCAGTCTGAAGTGCGAGTATGGGTCGCCCGAACTGGGTGGAGACATAAGCATAGAATGCAATGAGAGTAGCGGCAACATCAGATTTCCTACGAAGAGGAAATGTCCACACAAAGTGAGAGTAATCATCCAGTATGACGACATAGTAAAGATAACCAGAATTACTGGGTACTGGAGATGTCCATACATCGCTATGAATTAACTCAAACGCAAAAGATGCAACTGTGGAAGAGGAACTAAAGGGAAGGCGAACATGTTTGCCTAACCGGCAGGCTTCACATGAGTGAGCGGCCGTTTGATTACATAAAAAAGAAAATCCTCTCATTATTTGACGAAGTGAAGAAGTGCTAGGATGCCCGAGACGAGCATGCCAAACATCGACGCCGGCGGAAAAAGCGCGAGGACCACCCGGAGATGACGGCGACTGAACTGGGTAGAGGTCGTCGGGACTGTCACAGCGGTGAAGAATCATCCTGGTGCGAGCGTCCTTAACAGAAAAGCCAACTTCGTCAAATTCCACAGTTACGAAATTATCACGAGAAAGGTTGCGAACAGAAACTAAGTTCTGAATGAGATGAGGAGAAACAATGACATTATTAAGAGAGAGAGGTCGAGAGTTAGAAGGAAAAGGTGCAGAACCGACATGGGAGATAGGGAGACCAACACCGTTGCCGATGATGATGCGGGAGGGAGTAGAAGTGGGATGAACGGAGGAGAGGTTATCCGGATGAGCGGACATATGAGCGGTGGCACTGGAGTCCATGATCCAATCGCCACCACCACCGGAGTAGGGTGGCGGCTGCTGTAGTGCCGCTAGAAGAGCCGGGTCGTAGTAGGGGGCGCCGGGGGCGCCGTACGCGCCGTAGGAGGGCGCGGCAGGAGGGGCGCCGTGGACGCCGTGGGCGCCGAAGGGCGCGGCCAGGAGCGCCCGGTGGGCGCTCGGGCGGGGGCCGAGGATGCCCGGGGCGGGGGGCCGCGGCACGGGCATGCTGTAGGCGTGCACGACCCCCGTCCAGGGGTTGTAGCCACCGGCCCAGGGTGGCAGGGGCTGCTGCTGGGGGCCTGACCACCGCCGCCGCCACCTTTGCCTCCGCCTTGGCGGTTACCGCCGCGACCGCGGCGGCGGTTGCCGCCGTTGCCACCGTTGCGAGGTGGTTGGGGCGGCTGCGGCACCGGCGGAGGGTGCGGGACAGCCGGAGGACGAGGCGCCGAGGGTGGTGTAGAGGCGCCGGTGGAGAGGCCGGAGGCGAGCGTGGTGTGGACGGCGTGGGTGCGGAGGTGCTTCATCCGCCGCTCCTCAAGACGGAGATAGGCCACCGCCCGCTCGTAAGTGGGGTTGGCCATGAGGGTGAGGTTGGAGGCGGCGTTGCCGAAGTCCTCATTGAGGCCGGCGGTGAGCGTCGAGAGGAGAAGCTCATCGCCCACCTTGAACCCGACGTCATTGAGCTCGTCGGAGAGGGTCTTGAGCCGGAGGCAAAAGGCGTCGATGGTGGAGTCGTTCTGATGACATCCAAAAAATTCCTGCTGCAAGAAAACAATCCGTTGAAGCTTGTTGTCGGTGAAGAGGCCATTGATCTTGGTCCACACCGTGTAGGCATCGTCCCCATCGCGAACGACGGTGTGGAAGATGTCCGAAGAAACGGTAAGGAAGAACCACCGGATAAGGGTGGCGTCGATGGCGAGCCAGTTGGCGTCGTGGGCGCCGACGAAGAAGTTGGCGAGACCGTCCACATGATCACGAAGGTTGTACTCACGGAAGAGGAGGTTGAAGTAGGTTTTCCAGGCATAGTAGTTTGCGGAGGCGTGGGAGAGGATGATGGGAACGTGATCGAAGAGGTGGATGTTGCGGATGTCGGCGACTTGGGGCTCATCGGGCTCGGACCCGTAGGAGGAGGCGAACGGGTTGCTTGGAGGGGCGCTGGAGGAGGAGGAGGTGCCGAGGGCCGACATGGCAGAGGGAGGGGGTGGCGGCGCAAGATGGGATCGGGGATGGGTTAGGGTTTTCGGGAGGGAGGCGACACGGGGATGGCGGCGTGGGGAGGCAGGGAGGTTGGGGGCGCGGCGGGGTGGTGGGGAAGGGAGGGAGGAGGCGCGGCGGGGTGGTGGGGAAGGGGAGGAGGAGGCGTGGCGGCCGGAGAGGCGGCGGCGCGGTACAGCGAGGGCGGCGGCGGCCTGGGGAGGCGACGGCGGCACGGCTAGGGCTGGGGATCGAGGGTTAGGCTGATACCATGTAGAGGAATAGGATGCAACTCTCAATGTATTGATAGGTGCATATACACTAGTATATATAGTACATAGGGCAAGTCATATCCTCAACTATACACAAGGAGGAGACTTGGAGTACAAGAATACATGTGCTAAATACATATCTCAACAGCAACGTTGGGTTGCCTCACCGATAAATGATGAAAGCAACCTACTCATAATTTGAGGGTATCACATAAATGCAAATTTGTGTTGGGTTGCCTCACCGAGAAATGGTTAAATAGTTGTTCCCTTTTATCTCACATACTTGTCGATAATCTTGTTACATGATGGAAAAAAACATCACACCATTTTTCCTTTGGCGCTACACATCATAGAATGAGGCTACCAACCAGAAATGATACGAGAGGTACAGTTAAATTGTCATCCAATTCAGTGCTGATGGGGTGTGACTCTACAAGTGCCGTGGCTACGGAGACCACAAGGAAGCCGAAGGTCATGCGCCAACTTTCCTCAATGAAACCAAAAGTGTGAAAGTAATGCATGCACCTGAACACGAGAATGAAGATTAAGCAAAGTACATGCAAGCATGGTAACATGTCTCATTCAGTAATTACCCAACTGAAGCCAAGAAACCAGCCACAGCCATTGCTATGCTTCCAGCATATGACTTGTTGGGGTTGTATGGAAGCTTTTCTTTCCCTACACGGCGCCCCACTATGTCTGCTACACCTGGAAGCATATAGAACAACATCAAGAATGGGTGGAAAAAAAGATTATATCTACTTTCATTTCAAGCGACGGCATGAGGAATGCAGCAAATTGGTGACAAGTGCAGATATATGCCCATACCATCTCCAGCGCATAAGTTGCAGATAAGTGCTATAGCAATCGGAGATGTTCTCCATAATACAGAAGTGGCCAAAGCTATAGCAGTAACATAGTACAGTGGTGCCTTGAGGAATTCCCTGTGTTCAATAGAAAAAATAGGTAAAAAGGAAAATAAATTAAATAACCAAAAGTTGGCATACGTAAGTGTTCAACCTCTGGTCTCCAGATCGGCTCAATATTTTGACTACAGCTTCATTTTTCCTTATTCCTAGCCCCAATAGAAGAGTCCTAATAATATTAATCCCAGACGGAAGTGCAGCAAGGAAAGGAGCATACCTTCCTGAGCTGTATAAATTATAAATAATTAGTATTCAATACCAAGATGCTGATTTACATTGACAAGATCAATTCAGAATTTAACTACTCCCTCCATTTTTATATACAAGGCCACAATCAAAATTACAATTTGCAACTATACAAGGCCACAAACACTAATCGAGACAAAATTGATGGTGTTCGCCTCGTACTAGCAAAAGAGGACATTAATTATCCTTTGCATGCGCCTCATTAATCAACCAAAAGGAGGGAAAGCATTGACTTGTTATAGGTAGAACAGAAAAATATGCATTAATTAACACGACAAACAAGGAGATAATCTAGCTTGCAATATTGACTTAAGCACACATTTAGTTTTGCCTTGGTACCTGTAATATGTGTTTGTGGCCTTGTATACAAAAATGGAGGGAGTACCTGAAAAGGGGCCAAAAGAGCAAGGGTACCATCCCAATAGTTATGTGCATAAGTTTCCTATTGAGTTTCTGCATCCATAAAAGGACATTTATCAATACAAAGTGCCTATGAAGCTGCACATTTCATTAAGGCAGAGACAATCATACATAGCTATGTACTCCCTTTGTAAAGAAATATATGAGCGTTTAGATCATTAAAGTAGCGATCCAAACGCTCTTAAATTTCTTTATTACGGAGGGAGTAACATGTTTAGCACATTTAGTGCCAAATGTGGGCCATGGCATATAATTAACTTTTGTGAGCAAGTCCACTTTATGCTTGAATTAACTGAGTAGGTAACCCTAAATGTCATCTGGAGGCTCTGAATTCGTGACATATTGATAGGCCATCTGACATAGTGACATCAGTCGTAGAATAAATTGCAAATAGGATGGGCTGTACAGAACCCAATGGGTCATGAACTGGGCTTCTGTTTTTTCCCTTTTTGAACAAGGAACTGGGCTTCTGTTAATTAGGCTGGATACTAGAATTCAACTTCCATTCCAACGGTTGATTTGCCGTAGAATAACACATCAAAGGGCTTGAGCAACTGAACAAATGCAGTTCACTAGAAAACTAGTACACCACCATTTAGTAGTAGTAGTAGTACTCTCACCATAATCAGAGATAGAACTATATTTTGAACGATAGCACAAAATAGAGAAATTCATGCACAGAATTCACCCATCACATTTGTGTAAACCATTTCATTGAACATTTGTGTTCATATCTGACAATAGCAGCTACATAGACTTCAACTTAGCATTGCCGACTTAAGATGTTTTCCCCCCTATATAGAGTTATCGGTACGCGAGTTTGTTACGTGCCTATATATTCATCATTAGTTATTACACTTGAAGTACTATCATTTACTGACCAGATCGCAGAAGCCGCGCTCGACAAGCCCATGGAAGAAATGGAAGAGGCCGTGGGCGACGCCTGTGGTGACGGCCGAGGACACGAGGTCCTGGACCAGGCCGCTGCTGCCCACCGGCGAGATCACGGCGGCCATCATCGTTGCCCTCCGGCTGCGGCCAGCAGTGCTGCCGCGGGGGAGGGATGGCGGCACTGAGGAGGAGGAGGAGGCAGTCAGCGCGGTCCTGGTGGGTGAGCGGAGGGGTCTCGACGGGAGGCAAGTGTAGAGTGGAAAGGAGGAAGCCGGGGAGAAGGGATGGACGTTGAGGCAGCGCATTTTTGCGTGTGTGCACAGCTGACGACGAAGGTAGGAGAAATGGGAGATGCAAGCTGCTTGAATCGAACAAAAACTAGCAAAAGCCTCGCGCGGCAGATTGCAAACGGCAGCGTCAATTGTTTCACGCCAACCGAAGTACATGTACATGCTAATCGTATCTTTACACTGTGTTAACGTTAGCCTTTGCATGTCGTGATATGTGGACGTTAGTCCTTTTGCGCTTTGCATGTCGTGGAGGTGCACGTGAAGAAGTCATGTAGGAAAATGCACAAACGCAACAAAATGACGGTGAGCACGGAGGGGCATGTGGCATGTGAATGGTGCTAGTACTTTTTGTTATGCAAAGTGTTTAGTGTTCTTCGAACAGTAGAAAGTTCGGCACTGCAGTCTTACTTCAAGCAGAAAGCCACGGTCTGAGGAGCGTTACCTTGGAAGCTGTCAAAACCCGAGTACCCTAGCTCACGCAGGCAAGACAACATGCAGAAGCACACCATGGCGAGCAAAGAAAAGCAGAGGAGATCAGTATAAACGCTCAAGTTTTGCCATCTAATTTTTTTCTTTTCTCCGGAGAGCAAGACATACGGCATACAGCGTCAACCTTGGGACCAATCTCAGTATGTAAACGGCTGGATAAATAGTTACTCCCTCCGCCCCATAATGTAAGACGTTTTTTGACACTAGAAAATTGTTCCTATGGTTCAGCAGCATTTACAACAACAAAAATATCGCATGCTTGTCGATAATCTTGTTACATGTCGGAAGTTCACGTGGCGAAAAGAAACGTCACAGTATTCTTCCTTTGGCGCTAAACATCAGAGAATGAGGCTACCGACTAGGAATGATGTCAAGGGAACAGTTAAATTGTCATCCAGTTCAGTGCTGATGGGGTGTGACTCTACAAGTGCCGCGGCTACGGAGACCACAAGGAAGCCCAAGGTCATGTACCAGCTTTTCTCCATGAGACCGAAACTGTGGAAGTAATGCATGTACCTGAACAATATGAGCGCAAACGATTGAACAGAGCACACTGAAGGGGGAAAAACACGTAACATGGTCTCATTAAGTAATTACCCAATTGAGGCCAAGAAACCAGCCACAGCCATTGCTATGCTTCCTGCATATGACTTGTTGGGGTTGTATGGAAGCTTTTCTTTTCCTAGGCGTCTCCCCACTACGTCTGCTATACCTGGAAGCATACAGCGACGAAGGGTGAACAGCCTAATTATATCTGCTTTCGTCTAGGAAGGGCGAAGCAGCTAATTCTTTTGGCATACTGTTTACAGCCAGTGTGAAGATAGGCAACAGATTATGTTGCGCAAGATAAAAATTTGTTCTAGGACATATAGTGCGAAATGCAGATACATGCACGTACCATCTCCAGCGCATAAGTTGCAGACAAGTGCGATAGCAATTGGAGATGTTCTCCATAATACAGAAGTGGCCAAAGTTATAGTAGTAGCATAATACAGTGGTCCCTTGAGAAGCTCCCTAAGTTGAAAAGAAAAACAGGTAGAAAGGAATCATAACCTGAACCGGTCAAAGCAAGACTCGATAATGCCATAAAAAATGAAAAGGAGAATCTCAAGACAAAAGATCTGTATTTAATAACAGAGGGTTGGCATTAACTGTGGCACCTGTGGTCTCCAGATCGGCTCATTGATTTGACCATAGCTTCATTTTTCATTATTCCTAGCCCCAATAGAAGCATCCTTATAATATTAATCCCTGGTGCAAGTGCAGCAAAGAAAGGAGCATACCTTCCCGAGCTGTATAAAGCATTAGTACTGAACACCAAGATGCTGATTTACATTGACAGTATCATTTCAGATATCAATTACCTGAAAAGAGGCCAAAAGAGCAAGAATACCATCCCAATAGTTATGTGCACAAGTTTCCTGTTCAGTTTCTGCATCCAAAAAAGGACATTTATCAATGCAAAGTGTCTATATGAAGTCACATATTTCAATAAGAAAAAGACACTCATACATGGCTAATTGGCTATGTTACAGTGGTTAGCATATTTAGTTGCCAAATGTACGCCATGGCACATTGCGTTAACTTTTGTGAGCAAGTTCACCTGTGCTTGAATTAACTGAGTAGGCAGCTGTAAATATCATCTGGAGGCTCTGAGTTCATGATGTATTGACAGGCTATCTGAGATCAGTCAAGAATAAATTGCAAACAGGGTGGGCTGTGCACAACCCAAGGGTCCATGGAATGGGTTTTTGTTAGGCTACAGAACAGTGGCGGATGACCACACGGTATGTGTGGTAAGCAATTTCTGAATGGAAATTAAGTTATGGTGATTTAGCTCGTTAGCTCTACTTAAGAAAAGTACATAATCCAAAAAAAAAAAGAACAGTGGCGGAGGACCGTCAAAAAAGTTGGTATGGTGAAGTCGAAGGCATAGGCTAAAATGAGCACATGATCATTTTAATTGCCTTTCCTCTTTAGCCTATAGCTAGCATGTAGCAAGGAGTAGAGGCAGAGTACTACTTATGCCCGCACTTAGGTTCAACAGGGTCGATAGCACATGACGAGATTCAAGTGTCTTCTCTGAAGGATAATAGGGCTTCCCTATGGGGTCCTCTGCCAGTGCTACAGAATAGAATTCATCTTCCACTCCAAAAGATGGACTGTCGCAGGAATGATGCATCAAAGGGCTCTAGAGGAACTAAACAAATACAGTTGACTAGAAAACTAGTGCACAGTTATTTAGTACTCTGACCATAATCAGCTGTAGAACTACATTTTGAACAATAGCAGGATTTGTGGATATCTCAACAACTTTCAGTCTCTCATCCGAAACATTTGAGTTTCTAAAGTATCTAAAAATAGCAGCCTATACCCGGTTCATAACTCATAAGTACTGAAAAAAAATTACATATGCATGCTACACAATAGAATTCATCTTTCACTCCAAAAGATGGACTGTCGCAGGAATGATGCATCAAAGGGCTCTAGAGCAACTAAACAAATGCAGTTGACTAGAACACTAGTGCACATTACTTAGTACTCTGACCATAAGCAGCTGTAGAACTATATTATAATAGCAGGATTTTTCTTTTGAGAACCAAAGAGCAGGCTACTCATTGGTGTTGTTACAGTCACGTTCATACACATGGGCGAGGTTATCAGGGACCTTTCCGAACAGTCTCTGATCACCAGATTTCTTCGCTTCCACTGCCAGCTCATGGGCGAGGTTAGCAGGATTTGTGGATATCTCAACAAATTTTAGTCTCTCATCTGAAACATTTGAGTTTCTAAAGTATCTAAAAGTAGCAGCCTATACCCAGATCATAAATACTAAAAAAAAATCACATATGCATGCTACTTCCAAATTATACAAAATAGAGCAATTCATGCAGTGACAGCTAGATTGCAACTCAGCATGCCGATTTAATCGAACCTTAATAAATGACAGAGTTCACCATCAATTCTATTTATAACTGACAATAGCAGCTAGTAGTAGATTTCAACTCAGCATGCCGAATTAGGTTTCTCTTTCCTACAGTGTTATTTGTATGCAAGTTCGCTGCATATTTATCATTAATCTCAGCTGAAATATGATTTCTATCAAACCATATCGTGCAACAGATAACTCTATAAATTTCAGTCCTAATACTTAGCTTGTTCATTTTCAGAGTAACAATTCAAAGAATTCGACCTCTGGTGCACACAAACTCTATCACCAACAAAATGTGAGACGACTCCACCTCTGACTATCTGTCATATAACCCATTATTGGGAAATCGATGTAATTCGGTATTGCCCTGGTCTTGTTACTGTTTTCTTTAGGGATGGCCTCGTTGCTGGTTCCATCTTTGCTGTTGTCATGTTACTGTTACATCGTAGTAGAACTTAGTATACAGGATAAGACGGAGCGGAGCTTTACGAAACCAGTGACTTGATGCGGAGACTGACGCGCTAGATGAACGGTAAAATTCCGGGGCAAGTGGGGGGCGCAGGCCGTTGACTGACTGACTGACCTGGTCGCAGACGCCGCGCTTGGCGAGCTCCTCGAAGAAGCGGAGGAGGCCGAGGGCGATGGCCGCGGTGACGCCCGAGGACACGAGGTCGTGGACCAGGCCGCCATCCCCCGGGGAGACCACCGCGGCCGTCGTCGTCGCCCTCCGGCTCCGGTCGGCGGCGCAGCCACGGCGGGGGAAGCCGAAGCGGAAGCGGAGGGAGGGCGGCGCTGAGGAGGAGGAGACGGTCGGCGCGGAGCTGGTGGGTGAGCAGAGGGGTCTCGATCGGAGGCGAGTGTGGAGTGGGGAGGAGGAAGGAAGCAAGAAGGGATGGGCGCCGAGGCTGAGCATTTCGGGTGTCCACAGCCGACGGCGACAGCGAGGCGGATGGCTTAGAGACGAGGGAAGGGAAAATTGCCCATTTTAAATGGAAAGATGTAAACTGTTTTCGTACTAATCGGACAAATCGGTAGCCGATATCAACAAAATGCGGAGACTATCGGTTCCTCAGCTCAGATCAGAGGACGAAAAGAAGAAGATTGGATGCCGACCTTTACACGCTGAACGGTTAGTTCCAGGCCAGAAATAAAATTATGCCATATTCCCACTGAAAAATACTCCCTCCGTACCTAAATATTTGTCTTCCTAGAGATTTTAAATGAACTACCACATGCGAATGTATATAGACATATTTTAGAGTGTAGATTCACTCACTTTGCTCCGTATATAGTAACTTGTTGAAATCTCTAGAAAGACAAATATTTAGGAACGAAGGGAGTAGAACTTGACATTTTGTAAGTTGTGTTAATAAAAATCGCACCGGTCGATTTTTCAGGATCGAAATCTAACCCAGACGGATTTAGCGTGCTTCGTTGCATGGTCGGTGTTGTTTTAATTATTTTTTGCAGAAAGATGATGAAGTGTGTTTTTCTCTTTGGTATGTCTAGCTTTTGTCTAGATGAGAATTAACTATGTCCCATCTGAATGACATTAGTATGAAAGAAGAAAGAAAAGGAAAATAAAAAAATCAAC